CTCATGCGGCGGGTAGCGTCGCGCGCGGCAGCCGGTGCGGCGGTTTTTGTATGGGACTTGGCTTAACGGTCCTTGTTCATAAGTTGCTGGTGGGGTTAGAGAACTGAAAAAGATCAAAGTTCCAGACATCAGTGAGCCAACAAGCGTCCCTCAAGATCTTCGCAATTACTTAAGCCTCACTGAACAGAGATTTGTGCCATGCAAAAGTTGTCCTTTCATACATAATTTAAATCCACTGCCTGAACCGTTTTCATAATGCGATTATATGGCTCAATCGGAAAATATTACATTCCAAGCCGCAGTGGAACGGTGAGAGAGGCACTAGCATCAGTATGACGGAATACTTTTGTAAATAATGGCAAGGAACCTGTACTTCAAGGGGGCAGGTGGTCACATACCGTAATCCACGACTGAACACTTCATCTAATCGTACATCCCCCATGAAGAATCATTGAAGAGCTATGGCCGACGTTCGCATCCCGGGCTGGGCGCGGCGACCTTGCCACTGCCTTTCTTGCTCCGCCACGGTCTGTGCTCCGCCCCCAGCAGCAGCGCCCTTCGATTGCCAATGTGACGAGATATTCCACTTCCAGAGTGTATCCTATAACTTTTCATGGGATGCGTGATCAATCAAAGCATGATGCTTGCTGAAATGATAGAGGCTATCAGCATAACATGTGCAAACGACCTCCTAATTGGTTGCTAGCTCGTCCATTATCGGAGGTCAACGGGCAAAGAAAGGGGTCCCATTTTGCGCCTTCTTGACGGATTTCTTTGCTTTTTTCGCCACTGGGGCATTATTCAGCATCTCCACTTCCACTATGAACCCAGTCCAAACTTATCGTAATCCCTCGCTTTAAGAAGAGGCAAGCTCGGTTGAACAGAAAATCGAACACTTCTCGACGCTGCGCCGTACACATAGAGCCGTGAGTCGGCGGGGAATGGCAGCATTTCGTATTCGGGGGTAGTTTATGGGCTACTCGAACTCACGATCAGGTGGTAAAAAGACATCAATGTGCGGCTCGTCTGCGCTCTCTTGTCTAAATAGCGTATGACTATATTAGCAACCAAGGAGTCCAATTTTTGCCACAAGAAAACTTGGCCACGCACCACCTCACTTGAGTTGGTCCAGAACACACAAATCCCTTGGCTGGCATTGCTCAAACCGGAGGACAGGCTTGCAACTACCACCGCGAATGATCACCACAGACGATTGAACGACGCATCCAGAAGTAGGACTCCATCCCAGATCACTCTATGTACTAAAGAGCACGAGCTAACAGATCTTGTCAGAGAAATTTCGATGCTTTCAGACGAGGCTAGAGTGGAAGAAAGTGCAACGAATTCGACGGATCGATTGCTGGAGTCCTAATAGAAAATTTCGGCGAAATATCATAGAAGTTCCCGTTCCAGAAATTTTCAGGAGAATCAAGCTTGTTATAAAAACTGATCATAAAGATGACAATAGTTTGACTGCTTCTGCGTTTGATGGCCGAAAACTCCGTTTCAGGAGGACCAATAGAGTGAAAAACGGAACAACGAGACTACTTTATGAAGTAGTGGTCCTTCAGAAAAGCTTAAGCTTTTTTTCGACAGCCCTAACTTCTGTTTTTCAAGTTCCCTTAGAGATCTGCAAAAGCTGATTAAAAAAAAAAGCTATAGCGTTTGAGGGCGGAAGTGGTGTAGTGGCAAGTGGCACGCTTACCACGCGAGCGGTCCGGGGATCAAATCCTGGGTCGTGAGTCGCCCGGGCCAACCAAGCCTTCCATCCCTCCGGGGTCGGTTAATTGGTACCAGACTTGTCTGGGAGGATAAAAACACTGACTTGTACATCGGCTGGCCCCCGCAAGTCATTGTATAGGCCACATCGCATTCAAACGCCACTGCGAATGTGGTTCAAACCGCGATGACTTTCAATGGCGTCACCAAAAACGCATAGCCCTGCAGCCATCTTCATCACTGCTTTTAAGCCTTCTCATCGAAACGTGCAGCTATAAGAAGTGAGTAGTGACGCATTTCTTCAGTTTTTACTCACACTCATCTCCAGGTCATTAGATACATATTGTAACAGTTTGTGTTGAGCTAGATGAGTGAGCTTCTACTTCAGGACGTCGAACGGATGTTCACGTTGCTGTGTACATCGAATCCATGTCCTCGTTCAAAGCTCAAACAATGGTAAACTGATTTCAAAAAAATATTCTTTGGGTTTTCTCAATTCTCAAAATTAAGGATTTCGAAGTAGACATGTATCTGGCCATGGGATGGTTCGACAGACGTCTAGCCCATAACTGTACACACCCTATTCTTGTAACCAGTAAGGTGAGTGACCACCGTTGTTTGCCACTGTTCTGCAGCAGGTTATCAAGACTACGTAAAGGATCTCGTTTCAGTTGATAGCTGATCGAATGTGGCACCCAGATCTCTATTTTGTAAATTCTAAGTTCGCTTATTTACAAGAGGTCACCACGCCAAACCTGATGGTGATCGTCTATCCTGATGGCCTTATTTTTAAATCAATGCGGTATGAAGAGTTTCTGAATGGTGCTTCACGTGGGCCATTCAAGCATAATTGTTCATCAATACGACAATTTCAGATTAGATGTTACGCTCAGTTGTATGATGGACTTGAAATTGTTTCCGATCGATCATCAAGAATGCCCTCTGAAGATTCAGAGTTGTGAGTTATCGAATGAGTTGTTATACACATAACTGAGCAGACCAAAATGAGCACCCGCATTCCTTCCTTATTGCAGCAAGAGCGATCAAGGAAAATCAAAGCTAGAAATGTAGACGTATTCATTTTGTTAGGGGCGTGGTCTGTATTGAAAGAATCAGCCGTAAATGGCTTGGCAAGGATTTCATGGTTTTGGAGAACTCAAGATCGTTTTTTGTCTCACTGCTGGATGTGGGATGCCCTGCTCGACGGCTTTCTAGGCAAGAAGGAAGATGTTGGGCACGTGGAACGAGGGTAAAATATGTACCAAGTTCTGGTTCCGTAAGACTAAAAGATTCTGGTTCCATAGAAGGTCCTCGAGAAAAAGCCGATCGTTACGAAAGCATGCATCTTTTCGCAGGTCGCGCAGGCACTGAGCTTGAGGAGCTGCTTGAAAACCACGCCATCGTGATTCAAAAGGGAGACACCTGTCCCATTCCTAGCCAACTTTGCAAAAAACCTCCCATCGGATCTCATCCTTCTCTGAGCACTGCCCCTCTAATGGTTAACTCTTCGTAGAAGGTGGGGTATAGGAGGGATGAAAACGTTTCAAGGGCGTATGCTATTGTATGACGTATGCTTTACGCTGGTTACAACAGAGAACTCTAGGAGATCTCTGGTAACAGTAGACGATTTTTCTGTGCCAAACAGGTTTTTTACCCTCATGAACATCATCTTCGTTAGGTTCAGCTGCAGACCAACCTTACCACAGGCGCAGTCGAAATCAGCCAGCATTCGCTCCGCTTGCTCGATGTTCGGCGTTATAAGAACGATGTCGTCAGCAAAACGAAGGTGGTGTAGTTGCCGGCCGTCGACCTTCACTCCCATGTCTTCCCATTCCAGTTGACGCATGACGTTCTCGAGAGCGGCGCTGAAGAGTTTGGGCGAGATGGTGTTGCCCTGATTTGATGATAACTGGCGGTGCGTTCTTCAGATGTTCCGGTTTAACCCTGTCGAGACCGGGTGCTGTACAATTCTTCACCGACTTGATGGCGTGTCGGACTTCGGAAGAGAGAACTGAGGGGACGACGTATCCATCCTGTTGCAGTTGATAAGTAGGCAGATGGACATGGCTATCGAAGAGATCCGAGTAGAAGTCGTGGATGACTTTCTCCATTGCCCTTCGGGATGCAGTAACTGTTCCATCCGGACGTCGGAGGCAGGTCATCTTGGTCTTGTAGCTGGCAAAGCTTCGGCGGGCATTGCGGATGCTCCTCCCAGCCTCTGCTGCTTCAGCTAATACTGCTGCTCTTCGCTCCTTGAGATCTTCCTTTATCGCCTCTCTGCATAGCTTCGCAAGCTCGGACGTGAGTCGGTGATTGCCTGCAGCTCGTGCGGCTCCACGCTGGCGTATCAGTTCGAGAGTTTCCGGAGACAGACGTCCCTTGGTGACTTTCAAACTCTCTGCCTTCCACAATCGTGAAGATGTTCAACGAGCCGATAGTATCCTCGTCGATGTTTTCGATGACGGAATCCTCCCATAAGCTGACGAGGGAAGCGAAGTGGTCCCAGTTGATGACTGTCCTGGGGCTTCGCTTCCTGAACTTTGCTGCTCTCTCAACACGCATCGAGAAGTGGAATCTTGCGCGGAGGAGACGATGGTCCGATCCCGTGTAGAACTTTGGAACAACAGCGACGTCGGTCAGGCAAAACCTTCGATTGAAGATGATGTGGTCTATCTCGTTATGGAACTGTCCATCAGGTGACTCCCAAGTCCAACGAAGGTGAGGGGCTTTTGGAACTGTGAGTTACCATGGATAGTGTTGGGCGACATGATAAATTTCCCAATTATTTACTGACTAATATTTTCGTCAACTACGTCCTGCCCTACTTCGATAAAGATTTTGAAGAATTTGGATTGATTCTGGAAAACTCTACAAAAAAATCTTTTAGCTCCTCCACTTTGTCGACTGTAGGGGAACTGATATACACTCCACCTAGGTGTATGCACTGAATAATAGTATTTGAATTCGCCTCTCGTAAAGCCTCTCTCCAAATTTTCGCGGTTACCGGGCTGCTTCGGAACCGAATTATAAAGCATCGTGGCAAACTCGCCCACTTCAGTGCATGTTCCCTCTGCCAAAGGTGCATGACCTCCCCTCCTTTGTCAAACCTACTTTTTTTAGTCTCTGAGTTGTCTCAGAAAGAAAAAATGGCAATAATCAAGTAAGCAAAAGTTTTGTTCACAACCCAGCATTCTTGTGAATCAAGTAAGCGGTATAAAGTGGAGCAGTTTTCGCTATCGAGAAACGCACCTACCTCTGACAAGTGGCACACGAAATATACGGACACGCACTAATTAGAATTTGAATGCTTGTAAAGTTTGATTATTCTTTAATGTGTCTTCTTTTCAGATGCGTATATTGAGCAGATTGTGAATCTGACATGGCATGTTGCTCCTCCTTATTTCCCCGTTGGTTCCAACGAGGAAATTAAACTCAATGATATGGCGATCACTCGGACTCGTTACGAGAAGTGTGCTGGACCGTATCCAATGTTCCGTGGATCAGGTAACTCAACAATTATTCCGTTGAACAGTTGTGATTTTCCACGCTGAGTCTAGAAACATCTCGTGTTTTCAAAGCGTCTTCCTTCTCTTTGATATACAGTGAGTAGCTAATGGAGTTCTTATGAATTGATCAACGCAGAGAATTTTATTCCTTAAAGTTTTCGTTAAAATGCTGTGACTTCCCATGTTATTTTAAAGTACAGTTTTTGCGCCACCAGCACGCCTCTTCAACTTTGTTTCGGAGCATTTTGCTTCGAAAACCCTTGAATATGACACGCTCAAGCTGCAAATGCGCGCGATTCTACTCCTTGCATTGGAACGAGAACGGCTGAAACGTCTGACAATTTCTTCGGAGCGTTTGTCTCGTAGACACTGATGAAGCACCATGCGAGTCATGAAAGTTTTTGTAGCTGTGGTGAGAGCCTCGGAGGTGGTGAGGCTGGTGGCCTTATATCACACGCAAACAAAGGTAAATTGGTGGTTTTGTTCATAACAGATCCGTAAAGAAGAGCACCGGATTATGCTTTCGAATTTACCGAGCGTCGTGAAGGACATCATTTTGGGAAATTTTCGAGAAGAACCAATTCCATGAAGGCTTCTCTATGCAGTAGGTGTGAAAGTCTTCTCGAAGACAAAAACTCCAGGAGTCACAGTTCAGCTTACGTCCAGTCATCTAGTGATGTTAATACTCAGGTTGCAGTGGCAGTGTCCCTAAGATCACTCCCGATGTAATAGTAGACGGCCAAAGGACACCTAAATAGCGCAGACTCACTACGCTACGGCGGTACGCAAAAATATTCGGCATTCGTCCTTTCAGTAGGAAAAGTGACGTAAATATAATTGAAAAATGCACTTCGCACCGCGCGGGACAAATACTGAAGAGATACAGGGCGGATAACGTGCGTTTTATGGTTCTGCTGAGGAATTGTTAAGTAAAAATCTCAACCGGTATTCAATACCAAGGCAAAATCGTTGTTTGAAAGAGTCCTTAAACCCGTCCATGCGAAAAAGAACAACAGTCGACAGTGCAGTGATGACTAGACAAAATCGGCAATTCGCGATTCTGTGGTGATGCTAATGCCGATGCTTGGATAACGATTGATGTCATCAACTGGATCAACACTTCTCGAAGTCTAATTACATGAAGAAAAGTAGTCGTAACTGCATGACGTTATTCCCATTCTTTGAATCCCAGCTCTTCGAATCTGGTGGAACAACTGTTCCGGAAATGTTTCAAAAGGTGATGAAGTATACAACTGACAGTAACACATGAAACCAGACCATTCGACAAAAATGGGTGGATTTCATCCAGTAGCAGAGCGACACGTGTGCACAGAAAATCCTGCACGGCTTGAGAGAACTGGGCTGCGAAATCTTTCGGTCTACTACTACTGTATATGATGCCGAAACTATGTACCTCAAACGAGATCATTGTCTCTAAAACTCCCTACTCGCACTCTGACTTCCAGATAAATGAAGTCAGATTCTTTTTTGCGGTTAGTGTTAAGGTTAGTATAAGTATTTCGATTGTTGAGCATCTCAATCAGGTGCCTTAGCAGGGAAATGTGCATTCCAATTAGATGGCATAACGCGCAAAAACTCGTTTAATACCAAGTAGAATTCAACTGTACCTGTTTTGTGTTGCACAGTACTTGTAGCCATTCAGCTATTATTGATAGTCCCATGGACCTTTTCTCACAGCCCGCGCCATTGTATGATAATGAGGCATGAGGAAACCACGTCAAAATAAAGACGACACCAGTGTTCAAACAATAGATCATCTCAGTCAGTCTTCACTTTCACTGAACCGCCGAGACTCATCCGGCAATCTTACACCAATCCTCCACTGAACCCATTTCAGGTTTTCCAACCTACGATTCACTCATTCAACATCTCAAATTTTTCTGTGCTGCGCAGAATTGAAAAGGAAGAAGGATGGCGAAGTTTTTCATTGGTTCCCTTACGGAAAAATAGTGGCGCGCTATATTATTATTCGCTATAATATTGTGACACGCTATAGATTTAATGATCCTCTGAATGCCTAGTTAGCCGGAATCTGCTTTCTGTGTTTTCATGCTGTGCAAGTTTCACGCTGCTAATTCCTTCGCCCATGCCATCTGTGATCGCATGCGTCTCGGGTCTAAGATTAGAAAGAAAGGCAACGTCTCAAACACTGAAACGCTTTCTTCATCAGTATAGTTCCTGCATACTGTGCTCAAATAACTTTCGCTTAACTCAGTGTTACTACAAGCATCAAGCATTGATTTCGCTGCTCCAACATTACCAGATAAAAGGCGGTTCTGCTGTTATGCTGCATTATCTGTAGCAAATGCCGCATGTCGTTGGAAACGGATCGCGCTTTTTTTCTGCCTGATAATAATCTGCTTTGTATGAAACGTGATGACCTCTTCAATAGATAGACATTCCTGAGTTGCATTCTATTGCTACAAACCCTACAACATCACTGGACTACTTTATTAATAACAGGTCGGTCGGGCGCTGAACGTCATCTATGTTGTACTTTCTGGTATATGAAGTGCATAAAACCGGGAGTAATGGTACTTTTGTGACGGGTGAATGTTCCTACATGTTACTACCGTCAAGGGTTGAATTTCTATTGCTCACTTAGATATTATATTTCATGTTCATACTTCGAATTTGAAATCTTGTTCACGGCAGACACGATTAGTAACCTTTTCTAACACTTCTCTGCAGAAACGAGGAGACGAAAAGGAGCAACTTCTCTTTAATGACAGCGAAACTGCGAGTCATTTTTAGCCACCGTGTAGAATAAATCCAGCATTTCAAATAATTCGAGGTGTCGCACCAGATCTAGAGCCCTGCTACCCCACTTCGCTACGGCCGATGTCAAACTTTGCGAATCCACCGATTCGCTAGCGAATCGCGGGGTACAACAGTTGAACCAGCGGACCGAACTATACATATGTATACCAGCGAATCAATCGATGTAAAAGCGACTCGACACTGTTCGAAAGCGGCGGGAATCCCTCTCGTTTGTACGCTTGACTCTCGCTACTTTTTCGAGCTCTCATCCCCTCGCGAGCGCGGAAAATGGGTAAAGCCGATTTCCAATTTGAGTCCGGCCACTTCGAACAGTGTCGCGTCGCTGGTATTCGGCTCGCTGACGCAAGGCTCTTCCCGCGATTCGCTATCGCTGAATTTGCAAAGTCTAGGACCGGTCTATGGAAGCCGGAAAATCACGAACCAACCTCACCAGCATCACTCGTGGGCATAGCTCTTTGCCCACGATGTCAACTCGGGACCTATATCATAGCGCGCTAAACCCGTGCCACATGAAGATAATTCCAGCCTGTTTGTGTTTTTATCCGATCGTAATTTGACTTCGGAATCGATCCTTCTGGAGGGCGAGCCGTAATGAGGTGTGAGGATAAGATTAGGAAGAATATCGATTCTAGATGGGTGGCAGATCACTTTTCCAGACAGTGAGGTACACCGCATCGGAGAAGTGCTCAACAGTCACAGTTTTTTAATGATGGAAACCAGCGCGGAAAACATGATGTGATCCCCACTAGGTAGACTGAAGAGCTACTATCTGGAGCGAATCGGACTACTCTTATTCATAAAGCACTCGATGAAAACGAACCTTACGTTATGTTGGGTTATTTTTTATTCTGATCAGCGGTAACGTTGCTACTCGGAATGTATCTTATTCACGACCCCGTGCATGGCCATTTTTTATGATTGGATGAACCTTTGCGTGGCGATACGATTTCGGTTATTCAGTCATTCATACGATATTTCGCTCTGTGTCGCTTTCCTCGAAGTCTGAAAAATTAAACTGGAGTAACCTCACCTGTGGAACCTTGAGACTGATACTAATGCATAATGAAAGGAGACACGTATCCACACACGGTGGTGGGCGAGCTGAGCCTAATTAGTGGCACGTGGGCTAAATTCTCCGTTTTCAATGCATAAGCCTCCATGTTATTAGGTTGGCAAGAAAGTTCTGCGACACTTTCTAAAATTTTCTTTTTTTTGAAAAATCAATAGGTAACATTTATGACTAACAAATGGTAGAGCATTCTCGAGGCTTCAATCCACGAGGTGGATATAAGTGCTGCAGTCAGTAGTTATCCAAGAAAATTCAAAAAACCTCGACCACTAGTAAATCCATACTCCGAGTCACTGTCTAGTACAAATGTCTCCATAACTATGGATTCGTGTCAACGACCACACTATCTGCAATAGCTTCAATAGGCATGTCCGTTCACCGCTACAGCGTGTTTCACCTTTACCAGCGCTTTCGATCTTTTGATATTTTTATAAGAAGCCAGCAGCGTCCTACACACTCCATTACAGGTAGGGCTCTTACGGAAGCTCCACTACAAATTCTTCGTTATGGGCACCATTGTGTAGGTAGAGGTCTAGGCTGCGGAACTCCAGAAGCTGGCCGAGGCAGCTCGTCAGGAGCCCTCGTACCGCGACAATATTTATTTCTTTCATGACATTGCGAATCACCATGATCCGAAATGGGCCCGCTGAGAAATTGTGGACATTCCCCTGGTCGAGCTATGAATGACTGTCACCTATCCTGGACCTTAAATCATCATCTTGATGACGAAATAATTAGACGATCAACTCCAACTCGAAAGTGAGGTCGCCTCCTTTCTCGACCCGCACTCCGCTGGGTTTTGGCAAAGGAGCATCAAGAAATTTTCTGAGCGTTGAAGACAAGTGGTGGACACTCATGGTAGATATAAGACCGGTCAGGAGTTGTAAACAAAAAAGATAAAATTAAAATCAAAAATTTGAAAAAGTGTCGCAGGACTTTCTTTCCAACCTAATAATAAAAAGGGGCTCGATGGGCAAATCAGCGTAGTAGACGGTTATGTGTAAAAGTAATCACAGGTTACGAGCCGATGTTGACTGCATATATCATTTTTGCCGCGGAACGAGCCTGAAATGGCCAGCGTACTACAATATTGATTGAGGAGTTTTATAAGTTGAAAATTAGGACTACTACGGAAGTGATCGATATCGACTGAAAAAAACGGTTTGCGCATGGA